CAACAAGATAGAGATAAAGTTCTCCGTGGAGGTCCATGGCACTACGACAATAACCTGCTGATTTTCAACAAATCGGATGCTTTCTATAAGCCAATGATGGAATATTTCAACATAATGGAGATATGGGTACGAATCTTTGGCTTACTAGATGCTCTGAAGACGACCGAGATGGCACAAAAAATTGCTAAGAAATTTGGTTCTCTAATCTAGGTGGACTCAAGACTAGACACTCGCATAGAAGACTTCCTGCGTTTACGTGTAGGGAAGGACATCATAACACCTCTGAGACAGGAGCTGAAATTGAAAGTACAGGGTGAGGTAATGAAATATCCAGTGAAGTACGATAAATTACCTATGTTATGCTTTTCTTGTGGTATAGTAGGACACCCAAAAGCATTTTGCAATCTAAACATGCTGAGGAAGAGGACCGATTTGGGCTAGAGCTACGATTGGGAATAACACAAAGTAAAACCTGGTAATACAGACAAGAAAAAGAAGAAACTGATGAGCTTTGGATGACTCTAAGGGCCAAATTTGACAGAGAAACAATAACAGAGAAGATGCGCATAGAAGGCAGACGACAGTCTGATGAAAACTGGAAAGGCACAGAATATACTGATCGGGAGATACCTCGGAGTCAAAAGACATCTGTATATGAAAAACACAAACAGATTTATTGTGTGTCCAAGACAGAAAAGTACCAACCTAAGACGTATAGGGGTTTAGCAGAGGAAGCATGGAACCAGAGGGAAGCCACGGACAACAGGTAGTTGATCTGGGATAACATAAAAACAAATGAATCACAAAAGAATATTGCAAATGCACAAGACCAAAGATGGGGTATGAATGAAAACGAGGATGATAGGACAAGAACAAAGAATGGAGTGGAGGATACAGAGACTAAAATCAGCGAGGGAATGCAATTTCACATAGGCGTGGCGGGAAAGACAGAGAATCAAAGGAAGCAAAAGCGCTGGCATGACAAACTTCACAACAAAGGGCCCCACAGGAAAATAAAATTCCACATCTAACACCCCAAAAGAGAAATCTTCAAAGTGATAGTGTGGGAGGGGAGAAGGAAGAGACAGTGACACGGTCTGAATTGGGAGAGGAAGGAAACAAGTGAGCAAAGATTCCATGTCAAACCCAGCAACATAAGGGAGTTTTGTTAAAAGGGGTTTTACATCACAGCCCCAATGAAGATGTGACAATGGTGCAAGCAAAAGAATTGGATGGCGTTATGGCGGACCTTGTGAAAGAACATGGCCACCCAACCCAATGAAGATACTATGCTACAACTGCCGAGGGTTGGAAGTCCCCAGGCCGTTAGGCAACTGGGGTTTTTGCTCCGAGAACAGACTCCCCAAATAGTTTTCTTGATGGAAACCAGACTTGATGAGAAAGGATGGAAGTCCATCATGGCAGATTTGGGATGGAAAAAATGGATTGGGTGTTCCAGCAAAAAGAAAAAGGAAGGGTGGAGGCTTACTACTTTTATGGCAAGAACATATAAAGATTCGCGTACATTCATGTATCCTCACCCACATGCACACAGAAATCTTTGGAAATGAAAATGAGAAATCTTGGAGATTCACTGGAATCTATGGATGGCCACAGGCTGCAAATAAGAAGAATACATGGGATTTACTTAGTAGGCTACGTAGTCAGGTTCACAAGCCATGGCTACTAGGGGGAGATTTCAATCAAGTTTTAGGATATGAAGAGAAAATTGGCCTTAACCCCCCTGATGTGCAAGGAATGGAAGACTTTTGGGCTGTCCTAGACGAATGCTATTTGGAAGATATGGGTTATTATGGCAATGTTTTCATTTGGGACAACGAACACACAGATGAGACCTTCCTAGAGGAGAGACTAGACCGAATGGTAGCAAATTCAGAATGGAAGGACCGATTCCCGGAAGCCAGGGTAAAACATTTGGATAAAAGGGAATCAGACCACATAGCCATAATAATGGAGACACAGCTGGAAGAGGAACCAATTAGATGGGGCTGGTCTTTTCTTTTCGAAACATACTGGCAACGACATGAGGAATGTACATAAGTTATAGCAGAGGACTGGCAGAAAAACTAATCGCTACCTATCATGGAGAGAATAGAAAGTTTTGAACAACAACTGTTAAATGTAGTAACTCCACTTTTGGAAATCTGAGTTGGAGAAGGAGGAAAGCTGAACACGCCTTAAAAGTTATCTCAAGACAGCCCAAGACTCAACCTATACTCCTATGGAGGCGGGAACTTAGGAGGGAGCTGAATGAAATAAGAGCACAAGAAGAGTTGAAATGGAAACAAAGGTCCCGAACATATTGGTTACAAGGTGGGGATCGAAACACAAATTTCTTCCATAAAAAAACAACGTTTCGAAGGGAGAAGAACACAATTCGAAAACTTACAGATGAGGAAGGAAGGCAATGGAATGGCCAGCAAGGGGTGGAAAGTTGTATGTTGAACCATCTTCGAACTCTCTTCACGGCAGGTCCACTTCCAACTACATCAAAAGTGATTGATTTGGTACCTGTCAAAGTAACATAAGAGATGAATGACTCGTTGTTGCGTCCTTTCACGAGTGAAGAGATTTGGCATGCAGTGAAACATATGGGAGCTACTAAATCGCCAGGGGCTGATGGGATGCCATCACTGTTTTTCCAGAAAAATTGGACTATTGTGGGCCAATAAGTTACAACAGAAATACAAGGATATCTGGAGAATGGAAGTTTCCCTCAACAACTTAACCACACTCTTATAGCATTGATTCCTAAGAAGAAGAACCCATCGAAACCGGTTGATTTCAGACCTATAAGCTTATGCAAAGTGTTGTACAAGATCCTATCTAAAGTGTTAGCCAACAGATTGAAGACCATACTCCATGAAGTGATTGTAGAGAATCAAAGCGCGTTTGTCCCTGGCAGGTTGATTACAGATAACATAATGGTGGATTTTGAATGTTTCTTTACAATGAAAAATAGGAAAACAGGCATACATGGCAGCAAAGCTTGACATAGCAAAAGCCTACGGCAGGGTTGAATGGTCGTTCCTATAAGCAATAATGAAGAGATTGGGTTTCAATGAGAGATGGATAAAGCTAATCATGCAATGTGTCACTACTGTCTCTTTCTCGACACTTATTAATGGCCACAGATCAAAAAAATTCGTTCCCGCAAGAGGATTGCGACAAAGAGACCCTATCTCACCCTATCTCTTCTTGCTATGTGCAGATGGACTCTCAGCCTTAACTACAAAGGCAGTGGCGGAAGGGAAGTTACATGGAATACAGATCTCTAGTCGAGCCCCAACTATTTCTCACCTTCTATTTGCTGATGATAGTATTTTTTTCCTAAAAGCTACTTGCGAGGAAAGCAATGCTCTCAAGAAAATCCTAAGGGTATACGAACAGGAATCTGGCCAGATGGCTAACACAAACAAGTCAGAAATATCGTTCAGCACGAATGTAAAGGATGATCGAAGGGTGGCTATTGCTGGTATCTTAAATATGAGACATGTGCAGCACCATGAGAAGTACTTGGGACTACCTATAGTTGTGGGAAGGGGGAAAAGGGAAGTGTTAAGCCATCTTATTGACCGAGTAAGGAGAAAAGTGAAACTGTGGAAGAATAAACTACTCTCCAATGCTGGAAAGGAAGTAATGATTAAAGTTGTTGCTCAAGCCCAGACACTCTATGCTATGTCTTTGTTTTTGATCCCTAGGGGGTTTTAGATGAAATTCAGAGCCTTATTGTTGGGTTTTGGTAGGGACAAAAGAAAAAAGGATTCATTGGATTCGGTGGGAGAAGTTATGTAGAACAAAAGAAGAAGGAGGTATGGGTTTTAGCCTTTTAGGGACTTACGTGGTTTTAATTTGGCTCTACTGGGAAAACAAGTCTAGAATCTAATGCACAATTCGGACTCCTTAGTAGCCAGGGTTCTCAAAGCTAAGTATTTCCCAAATGACCACATACTACAGGTGAATGTGGGTTACAACCATGGTTATCAAAACAGCGCCGGACCGGGCGGGTCAACCTGGAAAAACCGAACCCGGGCAGACTTCCGGTTTCGATAGCATCAAAATGCACATGGGATTGGCCAGCCGGGTGGTAACCGGTTCAGCCGGTTAACCGGCAAAATCGACTGACCCGGACCGGCGGTTTTAGTCCATATTTAATGTTTTGGCCACTGATTTTTCCACTAAAATGAAACTAAAAAAATAAAAGGCAATTATGGAAGAGGAAAGGTTTCTTTCCATGTTGATTACTTTCCCAATCTACAACCTTTCCATTTTCAAAATTCTACAGGTCCTTCCCTCTTTGTATTATTCTCAATTAATTAGTCCAATTAATTCCTCCCAACAATTAATTCTTAAACTCTATATCGGCCACCATCAGTAAAACGGTAAAACCCCAAATCGCATTCTTTACTTTGAATTTCATATTTTAGTTTTAACTAATTAATTATGATTCTACTTGTAGTAAGTTATTCACATTTAGCAACTAATTACAAATTTCAGTTTCCTTACACTTTGTGTAGATTATATGTCACCGGTTTTATGACCGGTTAATTAGCAATTATCCGATAAACCTTAAACCTCTCGTTAATCCGGATCATTGCCCGGTTCGGTTTCAACAAAACTGGTTACAACCCTTCCTATATTTGGAGAAGTTTGATGACATCAAATTATTACAAACAAAGTAAAACTAACTTATTCATGTAAATTAAATTATTGATTTAGAAATAATTGTTAATTACAAGCAAATAGTTAATCACATTCAATATAATTTTAATTCAAGACCAACTAGGAAATTTAACTACTTCCACTTTAAGCTACGTAATCACATTCAATAAAATAATAAATTAACCATAAAACAAATTGGTCGTGTACAACTAGAAAATTATATAAACACCAATAAATTAATAAAAAAAGTTGGAAAAAAATTACATAAAATGAACTGCTTACCTTACGTCCCAGCGTCCCTAAACCGCAGCTGATAGCCAGAATTCTCCCAGACGTCGTTCCAGACTACTAAAGTTCCAGTCGTCTTCTCAATCGGCGGTTCAGTCCGGCGGTGGGGAAACGACAACTCCGGCAGTGTAGTCCGGCGGTGGGGAATCGGCGGCGTAGTTTTCTCAATTTGCTATTTCAGATATTGGGGAAACTGTATAATCGTCCTTTGCTCTTACTGGATTTTTATAGTGGTTCATGTTCGATTGATTTGTTCTTCCCCCTTTCTCCTTTTGGCCGCAATTAAGAGGAACTGAATGGATGAACGAATGAACTCCAGTTTTGATCCGTTGAAACAGTTTTGATGCATTTGTATCGTTACCATTTATTGTAATTTTCAGAATTAATTGGTCTGCAGGGGAAGAAGCAGCCTGAGATTCGTTTATTGCAGGGGAAGAACACATGGAATTGATCTGCAGAAGACGGAGAGTTCTCTGCAGATATGTTTCTGTTACACAATAATTAGAAACAGAAAAATCAAAACCACATAAATTGTATGTAGTGTAACTGGTGTGGACTCTCATTTATAAACATGTGGTCTTGGGTTCGAGTTGCATCACTGCCTTATACTTTTGAAGTTGTTTTTTATTGCCAACCCCACTAATCTACTGTTTGCGAAATCAATATTTCTGACTAATTATTTCTAACGAATTCATATTAACAATTGGAAAAGATTATCTGAAGAGTAAAAAAGGAATATTTCAAAACAAATTCCTACGACATCATAATTCGTCAGTAATACTCTGTTTTTGACGATTTATTTTACTATTATTGACGAACACGAGTTTGCTCACTAATATTGTTTTTCTTCCTTAAGTTTTTCAAACCAACTGTTCATTACCAATGAAAAATATGTAGTCATTAAGACAGGTCAGGTAGCTACATGTAGTGTGTTATGACTTTTATTGGAACGAGGGTACACGTACGATAGCCCGAGCCCGGATGACTAGGATTATGATAGAGTCGTGAACTATGTTCACTTTCAGTAAAGAATATTTCCACCCTCAACAAGCCTAGGGTTATAGGAGATTTCTCATATCTTTTAGTTGATATGAACTTCAGAAGAGCTTCATAAAGCATGGTGTGCTTAAAGAAAGAAAATTGAACTCTAGAAGAGTTTCATTCATCATGGATTGCTTAAAGAAAGAAAATTGAACATAAAGGATTTAAGAAGATCCTTTTTGGATTAGTACGACAATGTCGGAAAGGTGAAAGGACAATTTTGTATGGAAAAAATTGCATATGTTCAACAACCTAATGATCATAAGGTCACTAGAAGTGAACAAAGATCGATTTAGGCCTTGAGATAGAAATGAATTATTAGGTCCTGAAGTACCGTATGTTAATATCGTTAGAACAAAAATGTATCTCGCTATACTTCATTGAGTTATACTTCGTTACCTATAGGTAATGATGAGGATCATAGATGAGTAATTTTATTACTTATGGTCGTACAAGTATCTCATGGAGATTCCAAAGAAATCACAATAACAAGATCATCTGATCATGCACAATGGTCAACAATTCATGAGACTTGTTATGAATTGTTTGGTTAAGATTTATGATCCATCACGTCTAAATAACTTGTGGTTGTGGATTTATCTTCATAGAAAATTATCTTGAAGATCATGTGTGAAGAAAATGGTCATAATAGATCATGCGTAAAGTGAATATCTAGAAGATTTGTTTACTAAGAAACTTACCATGACTATATTTGAAAGTTATGTTCACGGAAATACACTTTGATGTGATCATGAGGCGGAGCATATACGCGCTACACTCTTTTTCCCTTAACCACGGCTTTTCCCACTGGGTTTTCCTGGTAAGGTTTTTAATGAGGCAACATGAAATAGCGTAATGCGATCTAGTGGTCATCCAAGGGAGAGTATTCTGTAAATATTAATATGGATGACCACTATATTAGATGCACTATTGGGTGTTACATGTAACCTCTCAACCCATTCAAATTCCACATTCATTCTCACATTAATGTATATTGATTATAAATAGAGGATCTTCTTGTACTAAGAAGGACATGAATAAGAAAAGCTCTATTCCCTCTCACTTCTTGTGTCTTTACTCTTACTCTTGTGTCTACTCCTCTTTACAATTATTTTACAACAGTCATCTATATTTTTCAAATATTATAATAATCTCTTAGACGCAACTCTTACTCATTTTTCCTCAGTTTTACAAATAGTTTCATATAAGTTATAACAAAACTTAAGAAAAAAATTACATTATATTACGAACTTTATATATGATTATCTTGTGATGATACAGATGGATGTATCTTGCACGGAATGCAAGTTTTAATATGTCATATTGTATCTCTATCTACTTTTATTACGAGGATGATAATTACTATGTTGTCGAGACAAATTGAAACCTCCTGCTCGAATAACACTAAGTCATTACATTTTATATGTAAAATTTATAATTTTATAGACTAAACTTTTTCAATAAAATATCACGTGTATGCAGGCGGCATACGCCAAAACTTGCTGCTTACCTCTTTTCAACAACAATATACACAAAATTCATAAACAAAAATTATTCCCTTCATAATTATATTTCTCAGTGAACCAATTCATACACAAAAATATTTCACCACACAAATTCAAGCCAAAGCTAATCTTAATTAAGCAGTCGAACATGACTTCAGCACGACGTCATCAATCGGCAGCTTATCCTCCGGAAAGGGACAGTCCCCTGCCTTCTCCGGCAACTCATCGCACGGCTTCGGCGTCACCCGGCTCGTCGTCCCGGAAACATTCGTGCAGTTCCACTGCAGCTCCCGCGCCGCCGGGCCCAAATTCAGGGTCACGTTGGAGATGCAGATCCCGGTAAAGTGGGCTTTCTCGAGCCCATCGAGTATGGCCGAGACGGTGACGTTTTGGGCCACCACGTCGCGGTAGTTGATGTTGTGGACCACGGGCAGGGCGTTGGGGTCGAACCCGCCGTCGGCGTGGGACTTGTAGGCACCGGACATCCAGAACACTTTCTCCATCCCGCTCATCGTCATCCTCCGGGCGAAGATGTCCTTCACGTACCCACCCCGGCCCACCGCCGTCTTGATCCGGATGCCCGACTGGCAGTTGATCGCGGTCACGTCCTCGATCCGGACGTCCTGGATCCCGCCGGACATCTCGCTGCCGAGCGCCACCACGGCGCTGTCCGGCGAGACGCACGTCACGCGCCGGATGGCGAGCTGCTTCGTCGGCTTCCCCACTTTGATGCCGTACTGGTCGATCCCGCTCTTCACCGCGATGCAGTCGTCGCCCGACGCTATGTAGCAGTCTTCGATCCGGATGTTGGTACAAGAATCTGCTCAGCCACAAAAGTATATAGGGAGGAGAATATTTACGCATTCCATTTTCATAATTTGTGATTTAATGGGACCATACTATAATTACAAAACCGAAATCGAGAAAGCAATTTTTTTAAGGTCCATACACACACAAAATGAAGAACATGCTGGCTTAATTAGCATATGAAGAAAATTAACTCCCTAAGTAACAAATGTGGCATGTGAATCATAAGCAACTCGATCGTGCTTACCAATCTAGATTCAGTGGTGTCGGAACTAATAAGACATAGCTCATCAAAAACATGGTCGACTCCCCTAGCTAACAACACATTTGAATTTACGACAGCTATAGGTGACAAACTGACAATTAAGATCCAAATCTATGAATCCAATCCAATCCATCTACCAAATTATCCACCTAATCCAATCCATTTGATCCAAATCCAATTGGATTGGTGGATTCATGGATCAATCCATGGATCCAAATGGAAAATTACGATTTGATACCTATATTTTGTATATTTTACATTTTGGTACCTAAAATTTATATTTTTATACAAAAAATATCATTGGAAAATTACATTTTGGTACCTAAAATTTTTCATTATGACATTTTAGTACCAAAACTTTTCAAATTTTACATTTTGGTCCAAGCCTTGGATGTCATTTGGATTCATGGATCAATCCACCAATCCATTGGATCCAAACCATTTGATCCATGGATCCACCAACCGAATCCACGAATCCGATCCAATTGCCACCTCTAACGACAGCACAATGCAATAAGCTTTACCAACCTGGATTGATGCCATCTGTGTTGGGGACTTCAACTGGAGCCAGGATGGTCACCCCTTGGATCACCACATTGCTGGAAAAAAAAAAATTTAATTGGTGGATCAAATTTAAGGAAATGGAATTTTATGAAGATGGGAAAGGGCCGGGGGAAATCAATTCATTAATTAATTGGTAGATCAAAACCTGCAATAAACGGGGTGGACATTCCACATTGGGGAATTGGTGAAGGTAACGTTGGAGATTTGGAGCTGATCCGTACTCTGAATCTCCACCAAGAACGGCCGGGCGTCCTTGAGTTTCTTGTTCTTGAAATCATCCCACCATTTTGCTCCCTGGCCGTCGATGGTGCCGTTGTTCCCCGTGATCACGACGTCGGTGAGGTTGGCTCCGAAGAGAAGGCTGGCGTGCCTGGCGCCGGTGGAGCCATCCGCCGCTGTGCCGAACGAAGGCAGGGGAGCCACCAATGGCCAGTCTTCCATGTTCTGCATGTACGTAATTAAAAACAAAAAAATTCATAATGGAAATCCGAATTGAGATTTGGAAAAAAGGGAGATAATATATTTTATTAACCTGGGAACCAAGGATCACGGCATCCTTGTGGAGGAAAAGGGTGAAATGGCTGGTGAGATTGAAACTCCCCGTCAGCCATTTCCCCGCCGGCACGATCAGCTGCGCTCCGCCATCGGCAGCGAACTGGGACAGGTTGGCGACGGCGGTTTCGAACGCCTTGGTGTTCAGCGTCTTGCCGTCCCCCACGGCTCCGAAATCCGTTAGGACCGCCGTGTGTTTGCGGCAGTTTATGGCGGAGTACTGCACCGGTGCTGGATCGGCACGACCGGACGGTGATGCCGACACCAGTAGGATTATTACCACGCCGAGAATGTGAAATACCTACATAGAGAAATCGCCGATCAATCAGATTAATTCTATGCTATATCATCTGCAGGGAAGAAAAAAACAAACGTTAGAGAGAACGTCTGGAGGGGAACCATTTTTTATGTGATGTATAATTACGATCTTATTACTTTCTATACTTTGGCTTAGTATATATAACCAACTAGATTTGGCAATATATATATATAACCAACTAGATTAGAGCTCACAGGTTGGCCAGATTGATAACATCAATGGTATAAAGAGTATTAGAGTATTAGCAATTATCTCAATCAAGTTACTTTGTTATTTGCTTTAATGAAAGAGTCCAAATCATTAATTTACACCAATATAAAAAAGGAACATACATAATAAGTTGTTGGGTAAATAAAATTTATTAGTAAAACCTTTCAAACTTTTCAAATCATTAGCCAAACCTTTCGAAATATAAAGGATTAGCCAAAACTTTAACGGAATGCAGTTGAACTTAAGTGGTACCGGGTGCACATATGATATAGTTCAATGGTTCGCGATGTCCTATTCTTATTTAAGTGGTGTAGCTCCCCCAATTCTAATATTTTAGTCGTATCCAAGGTATTTTACCCGTACATTGCGTATCACTGAACTCTATAACATGTTTAAAGTTGACAGAATATTACTGAAATATGCCATTTTCTAAATTTC